TCCCTCCAGCAGGCGAGACTGCAGTGGCTGGGCCATGTACAGTGAGGGAAAAAAGTATTTGATCCCCTGCTGATTTTGTACGTTTGCCCACTGACAAAGAAATGATCAGCCTATAATTTTGATGGTAGGTTTATTTGAACAGTGAGAGACAGAATAACAAGAAGAAAATCCAGAAAAACGCATGTCAAAAATTGTATAAATTGATTTGCATTTTAATGAGGGAAATAATCATTTGACCCCCTTTCAATCAGAAAGATTTCTCGCTCCCAGGTGTATTTTATACAGGTAACGAGCTGAGATTAAGAGCACACTCTTAAAGGGAGTGCTCCTAATCTCAGCTTGTTACCTGTATAAAAGACATCTGTTCACAGAAGCAATCAATCAATCAGATTCCAAACTCTCCAAAGAGCTCTCCAAGGATGTCAGGGACAAGATTGTAGACCTACACAAAGCTAGAATGGGCTACAAGACTATTGCTAAGCAGCTTGGTGAGAAGGTGACAACAGTTGGTGCGATTATTCGCAAATGGAAGAAACACAAAAGAACTGTTAATCTCCCTCGGCCTGGGGCTCCATGCAAGATCTCACCTCGTGGAGTTGCAATGATCATGAGAACGGTGAGGAATCAGCCCAGAACTACACCGGAGGATCTTGTCAATGATCTCAAGGCAGCTGGGACCATAGTCACCAAGAAAACAATTGGTAACACACTACGCCGTGAAGGACTAAAATCCTGCAGCGCCCGCAAGGTCCCCCTGCACAAGAAAGCAGATATACATGCCCGTCTGAAGTTTGCCAATGAACTTCTGAATGATTCAGAGGACAACTGGGTGAAAGTGTTGTGGTCAGATGAGACCAAAATGGAGCTCTTTGGCATCAACTCAACTCGCCGTGTTTGGAGGAATGCTGCCTATGACCCCAAGAACACCATCCCCACCGTCAAACATGGAGGTGGAAACATTATGCTTTGGGGGTGTTTTTCTGCAAAGGGGACAGGACAACTTCACCGCATCAAAGGGACGATGGACGGGGCCATGTACCGTCAAATCTTGGGTGAGAACCTCCTTCCCTCAGCCAGGGCATTGAAAATGGGTCGTGGATGGGTATTCCAGCATGACAATGACCCAAAACACACGGTTAAGGCAACAAAGGAGTGGCTCAAGAAGAAGAACATTAAGGTCCTGGAGTGGCCTAGCCAGTCTCCAGACCTTAATCCCATAGAACATCTGTGGAGGGAGCTGAAGGTTCGAGTTGCCAAACGTCAGCCTCGAAACCTTAATGACTTGGAGAATATCTGCAAAGAGGAGTGGGACAAAATCCCTCCTGAGATGTGTGCAAACCTGGTGGCCAACTACAAGAAACGTCTGACCTCTGTGATTGCCAACAAGGGTTTTGCCACCAAGTACTAAGTCATGCTTTGCAGAGGGGTCAAATACTTATTTCCCTCATTAAAATGCAAATCAATTTATAACATTTTTGACATGCGTTTTACTGGATTTTGTTGTTGTTATTCTGTCTCTTACTGTTCAAATAAACCTACCATTAAAATTATAGACTGGTCATTTCTTTGTCAGTGGGCAAACGTACAAAATCGGCAGGGGATCAAATACTTTTTTCCCTCACTGTAGCGTGGGCTGATGTCGTAAATGAGGATGTGGAGCTGAGTGGACTTGCTGAAGACTGGTACCAGCGGTGTCAAGATTGGATTCTTTGGAGGAGGCTCGTGAACGATGCTACTCGGCAGTTGGAGGCAATCACCCTTCAAAAACAATGGAGGGCAGAGGAGTGACGCTCACATACAGCCAGTTGGCATAGTAAGGATTACGGTTGGTGCATATGCCAGTCAGCTCAGTTAGTCAACCCATGGCACCTGGTTCTGTTCCTTGAGCTCCTGATAGGGAGCCTTCGACACTTCACGTGGCTTAAAATTGCACCTTTCCTGGCACACTCGCTATGTTGATGGCACTGCTACTTAGTGGTAAATATGTTTTGTTGTGTCTGTACGTGAGGCAATTGTATATTCTCCTCCTATACTGTAGAGTGTGAGATGATAGCGTGTGAGTGAGTTTGAGTGTGAGGATGTGTAGGGAGTGGTAGTGTAGTGGTTCGCGCTCTGCACTATGAACCCGGCGACCCCTAGGTCAGCCTCAAATGAGTACCTGGTGCAGTGTGTAAACATCGCCACCCCCTCGGTGGCAGTGCAAGCCTCCATAGCTGCTCGCCCCCAAAAGTACTTGTCCCAACAGTTTGTTAAGGATATACAGGGGTATAAAATATAATAAATCGCGACATTTCGATCGCAACACAAGCTACCGTCATCACGTGGAACAGATACGTCAGCAGTTCTCCTCTTGTATCTGTTCCACCTGATGACGGTCACTTGTGTTGCGATCAAAGCGTCGTGATCTATTATTTTTTCTCCCTTCGCGACTTTACCGAAAGTACCAATGAGTATGGATTCCTGCAGTCACGAAAGCTTCAAATCAAGAATATACAGGGAATCTTTGTCTTTATTGGATGTGTAAGTGCGAGTTTTTGGAGCCTGTGTGTGCTCACCTTGTTCTGCATCGGTTTCCTTCGAGTTGTCGAGTTTCCTCCCATATGTAGTGGTGCGAATTGAGACACACTCTGTGGTTGGAGGCAACCCGTTTATTAACACTTGCCTTGTGTAGGGAACTCTTAAAGTAACTGGTGCTATAGTTGGTGTAGACATACCTATCACTATGTGGGTAGCGAGCTACTCAACGAACAGGTCAGTCAGCACAACCACCAACTGATCCACGATACCGAGGCTATTCAAGATCCAAGACGAGATGATATGACGCAGGCTCACTGAATTTATCCATCAAATCGACCCCCGACAATCTCGGAGCTTCCCCTTTATCCACTTGAGCGTGGACTTGCCCCGCCCCCTGGTCACGCCCCCCTTCTGGCATCTTCCAGAAGGCTCGCTCCCTGGAACTGCACGAATCACGCCTCCCGAGGGGCCGTTTGTGTGCCGTACCCATGTAGGTGGGCAACAGCGCTCTTACCCCCTAGTGGGCGATATACCATTAGTACACCTAGCTAAAAACATAGATATGACGTACAACGGAGTTTCTGAAAGATACGAACGTCCAACTTACCAACATTCGCAATTACGAATGACCTATCCGACTTGCGAACGTTCGGTCGTGATTAAGAACTGAACCGTGGAACTATTACGTTCACCGGAGTGATCCTCTGCGATATGCAGTGAATCCCAGCGTCCCGCATGGACTCATTGCACCGCTTCTGACGAGGAAGCCAGCATCAGGATTCAATTAATATAAAACTGAGTTTTATTTTTTATAGTACTTTATTTTACGTTTTATTTTAGTACAGTATTTATTACATGCAAATGCATGATATATCTGATTTATGAGTTGAACAATGTTTCGCTTTTTTGTTGAACCAAACACATTTGATAACATGAACCGTGTGTAGTGTATATTTAAATATTGAGTTCCGAGTTACGAACAAATCCAAACTCAGTCTCAGGAACATAACCCGTTCCTAAGTTGAGGACTGCTCGTAACTGGTATTGGTCAAAATATCTGATGCTAAAAAATTAGCTGCAAATCACGGAATGGGGGTCATGCACAGCAACATCATCTGCCCTGCCCCCACTGCTGTAAGAACTTGGCAGAACCTTCTTAAAAGACTCCACACACTCATCAAGAACACTGTCTTAAAACTAAACATGTGTAATGTATGTATATTGAACTTCTTTTGAACCGTACGTAGCCAAACATGATAATCGGAGGTGGGGGAAGGACAAAAACTAAACACAAAAAGTAGTTCTAAAAAAAGTGTTTTCAATCTAGATTTAAAATTGAATAGCTCCAGTGGCTTCCTAATATCGAAAGGAGGAGCATTCCAGATAGCCCCAGAAGCACATCTGAAAACGTGTTGATGCATTGACCATCTTTGTTTCGGTTTTCTTCCAAGCGTGCGTTGACCAATCGAAAGTTGAGTTGCCCTGGTCCAGGGTTTGGCTGGATAACCGATATCAGGAGCAGTATGGCAATGAAGTCGCTCTTCCGTGATCGTGTGAATGTAGGGCAGAATAACTAACCGGATCTGCGGCACAACTATGCGTGAGGCATTGCAACAAGTGACCAACACGCTCAGGTAGGGATCGGTATTTCCACAGCAGATCAGAGCATAGTGGGTGTGGAACTCGCGTAGTTTGAACCAGAGTCGGCCGATCAGCACTCACTTCTGCACGTTGGATGCTGGGCCGAGTCTGCTAGTGAGTCCCACCACAGCATAGGCATTGTTTAGATGAGATAGAATTGGTTTGTCAATCCAGGTCAAGAGAAGTTCTGGGTATGGCCCACCATTGTCCAGGGAAGAGGGGAGGCATTTCTTGACCAGACCACTCAGCTCTCTCAGCCGGAGTCCCGCTAGAGCAAGGCCCGGCTGCAAACAGACGGTCATTAGCAGCATGAGTCACAGCGTCACCATCGCAAGGTGTTGTTGCTGTTGTTAATGTTGCAGCTGCTGTTGTTAATGTTGCTGCTGCTGTTGTTGCAGTTGCTATTGTTGCTGCTGTTCTTGTTGCTGTTGTTGCCTTTGTTTCTTCTGTTGTTTCCGTTGCTGTTGTGTGTAATTGGAATGATGCATGTGATCAGAATGCTGTGTTATTGAATACCGTGTGATTGGAATACCAATGTGTGAGTAATTGGATAGTTGTGTGTGATTGTGATGGACGACTTTTCTAGGCAATGGTCCTCAGCCAAAAGAGAATGTTCTCAGCCAAAAACAGAGCCGAGCCATGATTACAAATTTGGCCCCAAGTGACCGTGATACCGAGTTCATGGCCCCTAATCGCTCCTCCGCTCTCTCCCTATCGCTATCTCTTTTTTTTTTCACGACCCTTGTCTTGCCCCAATATCTAAAACACACAGAGTGGGAGAGTGGGGGAGATGTTTGCTCACAAGGGAGGCAAATATAAACGGGAGGGCAGTCTGCGACACCAATCGTTGCTGACTGGGACTCGTACAGATCTCCTCTCGCACAGAGCTCCTCTTCTTCACGTCTGCTCGCCAGGTAAAGGCAGAGCTCGCTTGGCGCTCCTCAACATGCGTTGTTCCTGGAGAAGTGAGCGCTCATCGAATCATTATAGTATCATGGGAAATATGGGGATGCATTCCCGACGTTATTTCTTTGGTATTAGCAATATATATGGCTTCGTTGAGGTATCGGTAATAACGCCAACAATAAAAATACGGACGGTAAACGTTGCCTATTAATAAAATTACAATAACATCAGTAAGTATTATGCACTGTATTCCTGAATGGATTATTGTGTACTCCTCCTACAAGGCAGCGGTGGGTTGCAGCTGCTGCACTCCCAGTCCGGGCTCACTCTCAGAGAAGAGCCCCAGCACCTCGGTGATCTTAGCGATGCCCTCGGTCTAAATCAGTGGTTCTTAACCTGGGGTGCACGCACCCCCTGGGGATGCGAGATTACCATTTCTAGGGATGCGAGACGTGGCCAGATTTTTTTTATAAAGCACGAATTAAGCAAGGGCACGTAAGTTTCATCAGAGCAATGCATTTATTAACAGAATTGGTTTTACAATTGAGAAGCAAAGGGGTGTAAGTCTGCAGTGAATGTTAAGAACCACTGGTCTAAATGTCTCTGGTGAGGTTTATTTCAGCTGGAGCCTGTAACTCTATCCTGGTCTCTCATGATTTCTCACCTGGCTAAGACATTTTTTTTGTTAAACGTAATCGTGACCACGAATCGTGATCATCCAATCGCGGGGAGTGGTGTGGTGGGTTCTGGTTGGCTCAGAGCCGTGCGTCTCTCTCATTGGCTGAGAGAATTGTGGGGGCGGGGCGACGTTTCCTCAGGCAGCGCCACCATGTGTTTTCACTCCAGATTAATTTTGGATTTCGTACAAACGTCTTCCACGACAAAGGGCGCTGGAATGAATGGGCGTCCTGTGAGGTCTCGCAAGGCGAGGTGTTCTGCCCGTGCTGTGACTGCACGACAATATTAACCCCGAGGACCCGTTGCCTAACGGGTGTCCACGTGCATTGCATTTACTTTTCCGGCGGTCAAGCTCAGCGTCGTTTATTTTGATATTTTATTGACTCTCCAGCGCCACTCCGCACGCTTATTTCAGAAACATTTCACCACTTTAATGACGGTTCAACATCTCAGTAGCACGGTAATAGACAAAGACCCCCACCGTACATCCTTAACAGGGGCAAGTGCCGTTGGAGAGTAGCGCCTGATGAAGCCGGATTGATACCCGAGGGGGTCGGTGCAGAAGGCATGGGGGAGGTCTGTTGGCAAGGGGCAACCCCCCCTCCACCGCTAACCCCCAGAGGCCGTGCTTCCTGTTACAGCTGTTAGTATGTGCGTGTGTGTCACCCACCCCCTCGTGTACCGTGCCGGCCTTCATAGGTGCTGCTCGCTCACAGCACTTGTCCTAACAGTCTGTCAAAGGTATACGGGGGATCTTTGTCTTTGTATAGTGGGGAACGGTAATGTAACGGTTATAGCGCTGCTCTACGAACCTCGCGACCCAAGTTTGATTTCCACTCACGTCCAACACCATTGACAAATATTTGAACCGGTCCTGAGCCTCCCCTAGGTCGACTCAGACTCAAATGCGTACCTAGCGTGGTTCGTAGTAAACATCTCCACTGGGGAGACAAAGACGACCTGGCGTGGTGCTGGCCACCCACCCCCTCATGTGCTGTGCCGGCCTTCATAGGTGCTCACTAACAACACTTGCCCCTACAATGTTTAGGCTATACGGGGGATTTTTTCGATTTAAAGCTTTCGTGACTGCAAGGATTCATCTTCTTTGGTTCTTTCGGTAAAGTCACGTAGAATGAGAATAAAATAAAATAACACAATAAAATTCTCACGACGTTTCGGCCACAACACAAGTGGCCTTCATCAGGTGAAGGGACTGGATCTTTGGCCTTGTGAGCCTTCGTGTCTGTGTGCGAGTCTGTTAGCTTTAATGGGGGATTTTCCTTCCTTGACATTATTAGAAGATTTTGCGCAGGGCTTGGTGGCCATGAGGGCTAAGCTATGCAATTGTAAAATGTAAACTACTGTAAGGGAGGAAGATTCCAATTGTTTGCAGTGTTTGTCCTTGGCTCTTGTTGGCGGTGACTCCAAAAGTGGGACGAATTGGAAATAGTGTTCGTGTCTTCGATAATGGAAATATGTTTTAACTGGAGCCAGAGGCATCCAAGGGATAAAAAGCTTCGTCTGGACGTGAGGTTCGCTTTCAACCACGGCTTATCATTCCACTCTTTCTTGAAGATGGAGGAGAACCATACATTCAATGAAGTGGAGTGAATTCGTTAGTTTTGTCGTTGTGCAACAAGTTTTTTCTACGTTCATTCTCACATTTGTTCCAGAGTGCAGTAGAAGAGGATTGTGGCGAATACTAGACGTAGTTGAGGCCCACATCTGATGGTATTGACTTCTTCCATTACTCGATTCTTTGCATTATTATCCTCAACGAGTCCGAGTTTCACGCAGACTGCTTTAAAGGTTACAATTGTGCGCAAGTCTTCATAAGAAGTTGCCCCATTTTTGTGATGCGGAAGCGTGCGAAGATAGTGGAGCGCAGACTGCTGTCGACTTAGTGAGATGTAAACTACGTTGTAGATCAGATGGTAATTTTCAGACCCTATTTTTCCATAGGCGCAATCATATGTTCCTGAACACGGGCTCGAACCCCAATGTTTCACAAGAAAAAGGTAGAAATATGGGATTTAGTATATCAAGCATGAACCATTATTAATGCTATAACATGGTAGAAAATAGCCCCCGACTGCTATACATTCATTTGGAGAAGAGTGCTAAGTGTACAGTGCAGAACTGAACATGATTATTTTTACCGAGATTAACACAAATACATTTGAGAAATGTTTAAAATATATATCTATTTTTTACCTTGTCTTCCTCTCCTGCAGTGATGTGACCTTTTATTTTTTTTAAAACAACTTAATTTTTAGTACGTTGCACAGTAGAAACATCGCGCGAATTAAGTTTCTGTGGAGGACATCGATCAATGGTGGCATAGCGCTGGCTGCTGGCGAAAAAGGGTAACTGCGGTATACGGCCGTACTCGCGTCAGCAAGTCACGATATATATAGAAGAGGGGGACATCTAGGGGAAAGGTCATAGAAGGGGCCCATCGGGAAGCCCCGGGAACCGGCTAGTAGGTTCCAGAAGGGGGGCGTGGCCAGTAGGTTCCAGAAGGGGGGTATGGCCAGGGCGGAGCAAGGCCACGCTGGGAGTATAAGAGGGGGCCCTGAGCGGGAGCTCGGGGCTGTTGCTGGAAGTGGAATCCCCATCGTGGCTGTTCAAGATCATCGTTGTCACCTTCTCGTCGTCGTCACCATCTCCTCATTGTCGTCTCCGTCTTCACCATCCCGGGTTGCTATTAGTCAGACAGCCTACCAACTGTTTTAACTAAGTAGTAGCGCCGACAATAGACGGTCTTAATTATAATGGTGTGCACCCACTTATGGATGTATATATCCCGATGGTATTAAATAAAGAAGTGCCTCCAAGTGTTGCTGTCTCTGATCTGCGTCACTACACACGTAAACGTGTGTCACATTACATTCGGTTTTGTAGACAGGATGTAATGTTTCCCAAATGTTAAATCAACATTTTACTGACATTTAAAATGCATAAAATCAATACTTGATTGAGTAATAATGTTTAACAAATGTTACGTTATTTAAAAAATGGGCTTTAAAAAAATCAGGATGGAGTAACAAACTCATACTTGTTCCAATGTAGTCTTTGACTTTGGTGTATGGTTAGTATGTGGGTATGTGATGTGGTCTAGTATGCGGTTGGTCAGGTGTAGTGGGGTGAGCAGGGGTTGAGTAAGTTTGTTAGTGTGTTCATGTAGTTAGATACAGTTGGGCAAAGTGCTGGTAACACCTCCACCTGGCACTATTCATTACTAAATACCACAGTGGAAACACCCAACTAAGCTCGTGCTGGAGGCTCCAGGGGGACAGGCGTTTATGGCGCCTTCTGGCCAGTCCCCATTTGGCGGAGCCAGACTGAACTCCCCCCCCCATCTCACGGTTCCGCCAGCAACAGGAAACTACTGCTGTTGGCAACGTAGAATGTTCAAACTCTCGCTGAGGAGATGCTGCCGTTCCTATGTTGGGAGATGGACCGATACCGCATCTGGCCCTCTGTGGAATCCAGAAGGTCTGGTAGATTGGTTCTGGCTCCAGTTGCCATGAGGTGTGAACAGTCCTCCACTCAGAGCAGGAAACTGCAAAACATCAGTGTGGAGGCAAAGTGTGAGAAGCTGTGAGTCCCAGGCTGCTGTGGGCTCGCTCCCCATCATCTTGAGGTGGAAAATGGTCGAGGGATGCAGACAAGTCCGATTAGCCTATAACCTCCTGTCCCAAGTGCTAGCTAAAGTGGCCTCTCGGGATAGTCAGCCTGTTGGATGACTTTAATATCCGAGTGGGTCATGATGCATACCTGGGCCAGAGTGATTGAAAGGCATGGGCCAGATCAGCTCAATAATAACGATAGGAGGCTGCTAGCCCATGGGCTTGTAATTAGCAATACACTGTGCCAGTATCAGTGTATGCATACAAAATTATGGATGCATGCCTGGTCCAAGCAAGGACATATGCTGGACTATATAGTTACAGAGGAGTGGATGCGGGCCCATTTCCTTGACACCAAGACCTACCGTGGAGCGGATCTTCCCACTGATCAACAAGTTATCTATAAGATGCCCCTGCCATTCTTCAACTGCGATGGTGGGTGTCCACTACCCCATTTTAAGAATGGCAGACTGTGTGCTGCTGACATGACCACCACCAACCACGTGGTTTCTCCGTGCACAGGAGTAGGTGATGTCTCACCACGCGTCCCTGCTGCTCGCTGCCGCTCTACTCTGTGGTCTGGGAGCTCCCAGCTGGTCGACCTCGGAGCCCTACCACCCAGACAAATGCACTTGCGTGGGTCCACCCGCGCCACGCGGGCTCCCCGGATTTCCTGGGATTCCGGGATCACCTGGTCCAATGGGGCCCCCTGGTAAGGAATAAAAAATGCATTGGAACCCCCCCCCCCACCCACCCCCTCCTGCCACCCACCCACTCCCTGACTCACACCCCTTTCCACCCAGCCAGTCACCCACCCACCTACTCACTCACTCACATACTCACCCACCTACCCACTCACTCATTCAGCCACCCACTCCCTCACTCACCTACTTACTCACCCACTGGGTGAGTGAATGGGTGAGTGTGGCCTTCATAGGTACTCGCTAAGGGCATTTTCCCTTACAGTCTGTTGAGACTATATGGGGATATTTGTGTGAGTGTGTGGGTGTGAGCCTGTGTATGGGGAGCGGTGGCGCCGTTGTTACTTCACTTTACTGCGAACCCGTCTAACCGAGTTTGATTCCAGGTCACGACCAGTGGCGAATATTTGAATAACTCCTGGTCCTCCCCTTGTTCAACTCAGCCTGAAATGAGTACCTTGTGCAGAGTTTAAGCATCAGCATTGTGTACAAAGGATATTGTGCGTGGTGCTGGCCACCCACCCTCTCGTGTGCTGCACCGGCCTTCATAGTTGCTACTTGCTAACAGTACTTGCCTCAACAAGGCTATATGGGGGATCTTTGTCTTTATCCTTGTGTATGCAGCGGCGGCACAGTGATTAGTGCACTGCACTACGAACCCAGCGACCTTAGATGTATCTCCACTTCACAGACGATATCAGTGTAAACTATCTCTAAAGTATCCTCTCCTAGATCGACTCAGCCTCAAGGACCAACTGTGGTGTGTGAACATTAGCACTGGGGAGACAAAGGCGGCCACACGTGGAGCTAAACTAAACACTCCATCGCCTCCACTCCGCATGAGCGATGGGACAGTTTGGGAGGGAGTGTAGGAGGAGTTTCCGTACTTGGGCAGTGTGCCACGGTATCAAGAAGTTATCTCACTCACCTGGTATGCAGGAGGACGTGGGTTAGATCGCGACCCCTGATGATACCTGTATATTTGGCGTTTGCGTTTTCTAGCCGTGGTCGCGTGGATGTTACCAATGTCAATGTCTCACAGGGTGGTGAGCCTAGTTGTAGATAAAACCTCTGATAAATCAAATCTCTGAGTGGGGTACCGTGGTGGGCACATGTTGACTACCTCGCCTGGTTTACAGGAGTCTGCGTGTTCTCCCTGTAGTGGTCGCATGTTTTTTCCCCGAGTCCTCTGTTTTTGTTCTCCACATTTAAAATCAACATGCGTTAGATTATTTTGGCTGCTATAATGTACATACTTTATGTTGAACTTATTTCGCTCCATACGTAGCCAACTGTGCTAATCGGAGGTGCTGAAATACATTTACACGTGATGATAAGCCACTTGGTTGAGCTATCATTTGTGGCCATGGTGCTTCTGAAAAAGAGCTATTTAGCTCAGTTGGATTTACCTAGTAAAATAAAAAAAAAACTTGTTTTGTTTAATATTTTAGTTTAAAATTGAGGTCGGTCACCTGCAGAAAGGAGAGCGAGTCCTGCACGGTCGAGGGCGGCGGACAGCTGGTTGATCTCCCGCTCCAGGCCGCGTGCTCTGCTCTCGTAGCGAGCGATGTCCGCCTGAAAGCGGGACAGCACGGAGCGGCCCTCCTTGTCCATGTGCTCCAGCGCCTCCCTCTTCTCCTCCCCCAGCTGCTCCCTCCTGCGCGCAAACTCTCGGCTGATCCGCGCCTTGAACCCACGCAGAGGCTCCTATGCAGATAGTGCCGAGTTGTTGAATCAGTAATAAGGTAACAATGCAATGTGGCATCATACCGGTAATGATTATTACCATACCTTGCTTATTTATTTGGAGGTGGGTGATGTGTTCATTGGGCGCTCAGGAACATATAACACAGGGAAAATGTGAATGGGTTATAAGAAAAAAATATCATACAGTTATATAGCTCAGTGAACTTTAAATAAAACACTGTAGTTTAGTTTTAAATAAGTTCTTATCTCATCCAGTAGGCGAGTGGCTTTGATGTGTGCTGTCTAACAGGACATTGAGTTCAGGCTAATAATGAGGGATCTTTGTCTGCATCTTTGTATGTATCTGTTCCACATTAGGTCTACCTGGAATTTCCTGTGAGAAGGGTGAGCAACGACTTCCAGGTGCGTCCACACAAGCCTGACAGCATTCTCTAAAAACATCTTGACTTGCGGCTTGCTCTGTTATTACTCAGCGATTGTCAGATTGAAATTTGCATGAACGACGCATTATTATGAAACAAAACATTATTACAACTGCAAGTTTTACGATGATGATTATGATTAGTGAAAAAATAATATACTTTACCCTTTCCAGCTAAAATACATAAGGTGTTAAGATGTTCAGACACCTATTTTTACAAGGCGTCATCAAGTCTGCAGTCACCACACATCGTGCTTGTGGTAAAACATGCAAACAAACATATTTTGATAATAATGTATGCATTGTCTTTGAAACTGATTGGCCTACACCCGAGACAGCCTCCTTTATTGTCTTGTCTCACCACGAGTGTTAGACCAGAGAACAACGACAATAGATGAACACTACAAGGACAATGGAAATATCAAAGCATTAATAGCTCAGGTCGAGCAGTTATAGCTATAGGACCTTTTTTGTACAACATCTTTTTTTTAATTAAATCATGTTTGTTTTCATGCTTTACCACAAGCATGATGTGTGGTTAATGCAGATTTGCTTGCAACAATGGGTTAGTGTCTGAACATCTTACCACCTATTGTACTATTGATGGGAAGGGTAGGGCATATTTTTTTTCAAAATGTTTATACCGGTCCAAAAATGGTACAATATATTATTACTAAACTAGTTTAGCCAGGAAAGGCTCAGAGTTTCAAGAACATTTTTTCCAGGAGGGTCCTTCCAAGTGTTCGCCATAGCCCAGCGATGTCGCTGCAACTCAAACAAAGATGGTGGTCACCGCATTGTGCGCTTTCAGATGCGCTTCTGCGGCCGTCTGGAATGCTCTTCGGATTTTAGGAAGTCACTGGAGCTATGCATTTTTTCATCTAAATTGAAAACTAATTTCTGTAGAACTGCATTTACCGTGGTTTGTTATTGCGGTTGGGTACGTACGGTGCAAAATAAGTGCAATATACATGCTGCTGTTGCTGCTGTGATCTCAATCTCTTGGGGAGTGGTGGCAAAGCAGTTAGCACGCTGCTCTACGAACCCGGCATAGACCTGAGTTAGATTACCGCTCACGGCCAACACCACTAACATCATAGACAATAATCTGAACCGGTCCGGGGCCTCCCTTCGTGCGGTGTCTAAACATCAGCAGACAGAGGAGGCCGGGTGGGGTGCTGGCCACCCACCCCCTCGTGTGCCGTGCAGGCCTTTATCGGTGCTGCTGGCTAACAGCACTTGCCCCCAACAGGTTGTTTGGGCTATACAGGTTGTTGATCTCAACTGAGTGACTTGCAGGATTTTTTTTTAGGAACTTGAGATGTTTTGGCCAATCCCTGCTCCACTTTGTAGATGAGTCCAGCACGGGGCGTGCCTGAGAAAGGATGCGCGATAAAAACGGACTGCGACTTAATCAGTGATCGTGCAGATATTCGCCAATCAGAAAAAGGGGGGCTATTCGCACGACGCTATACTAACCAATGGTATTACTCGATCCGTGGATCTATTGCCAACGAATTTACGCAGTGATTAACCCTCGATGAATCGACACCCTAACATAGCTCTGAGATTGACTGCGAGAAGAATCGATACAATAGACACCTCTATTCACGATCCACAAGGCCATATATGATCAAGGACACGCCCCACTGGCAACACCACACCTACTTTCTTCCATATGTAAGGACAGTGCGGAGAGAGAGACAGGCCGTATTTGAAGACAGTGCGTGGAGAGGAGACAGTGCGTGGGTGTAGGGGGGGGGAGACAGTGCGAGTGCAGGGACAGTGCGTGGCCAAGTGTTCACGAGGGATGATTACAGGAGGGAACTATCCGTGTAGGCCGAGACAACTCCAAAAAGGGGGCGTGGCTGGGGGTGGAGCAACGCCACGCCGGGGAGAAATAAAAGGCGGCGGGCAAGGGAGCTCGGGGCTGCCGTGGGATCGGTGTCGACTGTCTCTACGTCTTCGCTCTCGTCGGGCCGTCACTGTCTTCACGTCATCGCTACTTGTGTGTTATCCTAGCCCAGGTGTCTGTATATTATACTAGCCGAGGATCTGTAGGACACGAGATGGAGTTCTCTGCACGATGCGCCTTAATATATAAATAACGGAGACTACAGAAGTTGTCCGAGAGTCGTTACACATACATGGCATAATGATTAGTGATTTTGTGGGGTGTCCGATTTTATTGACTTACAGTGCAAACCCTCAGAGGCACACACAAACCCACTTATATGTTATTCTTCGTCGGGTCCTTAGTTTATCTTATGTAGGTTTACATCGTAGTGCCTAAATGCTATGTGCTTTACAAAACATGTAAAATTGTACTCAAAATGACAGTGGTTGAGATAATAAAGAGTGGGGTTATTATTAAAAGTGGTGGAGTTATTATGGTGACAGAATAACAGGCGGGAGTGGCTAAGAAGGGTTTTGGGGTAGAGGTAGAGGTTGTGATAGAAATTAGGGAAGTGATAGATTAACAATCAATTGTAATTTACATGATTACATCAACCCCCTTCTGACCTTGGCACTTGATATGGTGACAGTGATGACCTCACTTTCTTCTATTTAAGACCGGAAACGGGAGGACTTCTTCACAATTCCTGCACAATTCGCCCGATGAAGCCGGTTGTAATTACCAGCAAAACAGCATAATCAAATTATAAATGTTACGGTTTTACTCTTTATCACACTAGTGTGCTGAAGTAGCAATTAATTGCCACGTTTCATTTACGTGACAAAGCTTAGTGATAGGCTGTGTCGGATGGTAGTGGGTTAAGGACACTTATTTTACGTAATCTAACCCACAAGAACTTTTATTATGAATAACAATGGTCGCGAAAGCCTACGTGTTACATTCTATTATTAGTGATAGGGGTCGGGGTGGTGATACGGGTAGTAATAGGGGTGACGAGGGAGGAACAGAGAGGAATAGTACAGATTAGGGAGCAAAGAGGATGCGATGGGACAGAGTAGTAAGAGATGAGAGAAGCGATATAGGGTGGTGGGGCGACACCATGGAGGGATTCATAGACTAAGAGTGAGCAATATAAACAGACAGCGATAGTAGACAGGGAGCCAGTGGTGTTTGGGAAGTAGAGCATCCATACTTTACCCAACAACCCCACACTGGAAGCCCCAACACCACCCTTAACCTGACCCTCTATTTCCTTTTTCACATTGGCAGCACTCAAATTTTAAATACCCCGCGCCACTCACCCCTCCACCCCTCCACGCAGGCTGCTCGGGAACCTCACCTTCGCCGCTTGCATTCTCCGTCAAACTCTCCTCCACCTCGAATGCTTCCATCGGAGTCACCATCACCGTGCCGCCGGGTGGCGTCTTCCCCTTCGACTCCGTCCTGGTCAACGGCCAGGGCATCTACGACACCCACTCTAACAACTTCACGAGCCCCGTAGCCGGACTTTACTTTTTATCCTTCCACCTCACCCTGGGAAGACGAAGAGAAGCAGGAGCGAGAGGAGCGTATGTGAATGTGCAGTTGGCGACGAGCAAGGCGGGCGTTGCCAGTCCGAAGGGGAAGACCGTGGCGAATTTCGGCGGCAAGACTGACGAGGAGATTTCTGGCAGCGCCGTGGTTGCGCTTGCCGCCGGGGACTCCGTGTGGCTGCGCGCGCACCAAGGGAACGCAGCCGATGTGGTCATTGTGCCCAGGGAGGGGGGGGACAGCGTCTTCTCCGGGTTCCTGCTCAGCTACTGAGTGGGGGAGTGGTGGGTGGGGAGTGCAGGTGAGCGACACCGCGGAATGCGAGGGGGGAACGGAGGGGAGTGGACAGGAGAGGAAGGGAGGGGATGGGACAGGAGGAGAGAGGAGAGGAAGGGAAGAAGGAGGGGAACTGAGAGAGGAAAAGAGGGGATGGGTGTGGAGGGCAGCGGAGAAGAGAGGAGGGGTGGGAAGGGGAGGGGAGAGGTATTGCACTTTCCACACCATGGCCACATTTATTTGACCTCCCTTGACGCCGTTCTTTAGTCTGTGATTGAGGTGTGTCATCTTGATATGATTCACGTTTATGTGTGTATGTGTAATGACTGGGCCTCAGGCGAGAGTTGAAACTGGCAAATAATTCATTTAAGTGATCAACGCACAGCAAAATGCTTGTGGAATAAAAATTTATGCTGCAAAAAAAATTAGTGTGGCGTGAATGGCTAACTCGGTACATCTAACCCTACAAACAACGATCTCTGTTCCTTTAAACTATAAACTTTTATTTTATCAGGTAAGGCCGACTGTGCTATATAGATCTTTTTGAGACGCGACCTGGCCACATATGATATCGCAATTAAGTGGCTTATCACCTGGGAAATTAAAGCGGTTAAATACTCTAAACGCACGTCGATTGAATGTCTCATAGAGAGAGACATGCAAACTCCAAATATACAGGCATCAGGGTTGGGATTGAACCCACGACTTCCTGCATACCAGGCGAGGGAGATAACATTTCACCACCATGGCACCCCTAGCAGCACTAGGCCTATGCTCGTTTACCCATAAACACCGCAGTGAGTCATCATTAGACCTCCTTTGCCAGTACCAAAGTGTAATAATAGGAGTTTTCCCCTTTTTTTCTGGCAATAAAACTGAAACCTTTTTTCACAAGGATTCATGTCTGCATTAACCACAATACCTGCAGTCAAAATGCAAACATTTTGGTACTGGCAAAGGAGGTCTAATGATGTAGATGCTCACCCCGAGCCCTCATTACTTTGATAGTGCATTGTCTTTGAGCTGTGTGACGCCTTTTGGCGTCATTTGGTCGAGCACCAATTGGGTCGAGGCTCAAAAGAAAGACGTCCCTTGGTGTGGACCAATCAGTTTCAAGGACAATGCATATATTATCATAGTATGTGTTTTGTTTGCATTTTGACTGCAGGTATTGTGGTTAATGCAGCAACATGAATCCTTGTAAAAAGGTTTCAGTGTTGTTGCCAGAAAAAAGGGGAAAACTATTATTACATTTTGGTACTGGCAAAGGAGGTCTAATGATGTAGATGCTCACCCCGAGCCCTCATTACTTTGATAGTGCATTGTCTTTGAGCTGTACGCCTTTTGGCGTCATCTGGTCTAGCACCAATTGGGTCGAGGCTCAAAAGAAAGCCGTCCCTTGGTGTGGACCAATCAGTTTCAAGGACAATGCATATATTATCATAGTATGTTTTTTTGTTTGCATTTTGACTGCAGGTATTGTGGTTAATGCAGCAACATGAATCCTTGCAAAAAGGTTTCAGTGTTGTTGCAAGAAAAAAGGGGAAAACCCCTATTATTATTACCGCAGTGAGTCTCTAGACTCTTTTTCTAAGAGGATGCTGTCACGTTTTTCACAGTAAGGGGCGGAGTTGCTATGAGTGAGACCCAGAGTGAGGCCCAGAATGTGGTGCAGTGATTCCCGTGTAGCCGGCCCGCCCTGTTTCCTCTCCTCTCGTGAATCGTAATGAGGGGGACAGTTTGACTAAATAGGCAACAAGCGACGCTTGATTTCAGTGTCATTCCGATGATCATTAATTATGTTACTTTCTATATGCATGCTGTTGATAATATCCCCATGAACATTGTTGTTGTTCACATGAACAGCAAGCCTATTGTTAATGTTGTTCATGTTGTTGATATGTTAAATCGTTGTTGGTTCATGATGTCATATTATTGTTAATGTCGATGGTGTCGATTGAAAGTAGGCTGCCCGCGAGTGTCTTTGGGAAACGAATAGCAAGGAATCCACATCGCTTGCAATTCACTGAAGTTATATGCCGGGCATATGGCGTGGGCAGTGCTTGCCAATGATAAGAATGGGATTTAGTTGAATACAATTGTTGTGTGGTGCAGGACGACTCGTAGACTGAACTCTTCGTAAGGGCTTGCGCCGGTTTATTAACACATGGGTAACAAAACACACCAGAGGTAGGTGTCCCTACAGTGGGTCCTTCACGCGGACCTCAGGCTCTATCTATTCCTAGCCTGGGCGATCTCTTGGGCTCTCTCACTCGCATCCAACACTGCCCGACCGAGGAGAGCAACACCGCACGTAACCTTAGCCGGCTCTTGCAGACTTCTCTGAGCCCTACCCCTGGCTATGTCTTCGGCTCTCCTACTCGTAGAACCCGGACGTCGGATCAGCCAACACCGTCCGGTCACGAGCAGGAGAGAGACCTTCTTCAGACGCTCACCATCCCGGGCTCCCACCACGACCCCCTTTTCTAGTAATAGGTTCATCTTCTTTGGTTCTATCGGTAAAGTCACCACGTAGAATGAGAATAAAATAATAAATTAATAAAATAAAATAACGCAATAAAATTATCACGACGTTTCGGCCACAACACAAGTGGCCTGAGACAGTCTCTCGAGGCTGTCTCGTCTCTTCACCTGATGAAGCTAAGATACTTTTTCAAGGGCGACTTGGCCGGCAGGTAACATCAAAGAATTCCACTATTACACCCACTCACGCACTCACTGGCAAACTCACACACACACTCACGCCCTCACCCACCCATACACTCTCTCGGCCACTCACCCACTCACTCATCCACTCACCCACTCACTCATCCACCCACGCCACAACTCACATACCCACTTTCCCACTCGCCCACTTACACACACACACTTCAGAATCAGTATAATCAGAAGTTTATTTTCCGAGTAAAGCCCATTGAGCTAAGAAGCTCTTTTTAAGCGTGACTCGGGCGGCAGACGTGGTCATTCTTTTGCCGTTGGCACGAGACCGGGGCATTGCCTCTAACTCCAGTTAGGAGTTGGGGTTTGTCACTGACCAGATGGATCTTCCACTCAGGCGACAGCGGGTGGAATGCGTTGTGCATATTTTGTAGGAGTGGTAGAACCAGCGAAACCTGTATTTTTTTGCTGTCAGGTTGATGGCTGCATTTTGATGGAATATTTTGATTCTCCATGATATATTTTGCTGTGCGTGAATTGACACCCTGCACACCCTTGCAAATGTGATGTCCCATCTTGGGGGAATTTCCCAGGTGAAATAGTTTAATATTTTACCATAGTTATCCTCGCTGGTGTGGATTCGGTGGTCATACAACTCACGTAGGGTACAAAAACAAGTTACCCCAGCTTGTGCCAAATCACACAACATTCTAAACGAACACAGAACTATACGATGGGAGCAAATGCCATTCCAACATAGATAACTTGCCCACCACTCGCACGGCGAGATGACTTGATGGAAGGGTTTGCTACTTGTTTCAGAGGTTCACGGTTTCAGTTCATGACTGCGGGTGCTGTCACCTTACGTCTCCGCCTAACGCACAGTCGACGTTAATGATCCTCGCACGTCATTAACAAGAGTAAACCCTTTGAGTGGCAGTATCATTTTCCAAATGCAAATAATAACACCACAAATTACTCAATTGGGATTACACACAACAGTGGCAATCATCGTCCCTTACCGGCAGACTCATGCACCATTTTAAACTTGCATATGAGACTCATTCTGGTCTCTCCAGTTCTTGCCTGGTTACATTTTTATTGCTTATTCATGTACCCAACTTTTGACGAAGAGAGACCAATCAAGGCAGTTACCAAAGCAGAGTTGAAGTGGGTGGTTACCGCAAGATTTTAGACAGGGGGCAGGCAAAGTTGCCTGGAGAGGTCTAGACGCTGTGAGAAGAGGCTACAAGAGTGGCCACCAACCCAGAGTAACGTAGAGACCCACACGTGTACAGACCCATAGAACAGAATGAGTCTGCAAAACCCACTCAGAGGAACCCATAGACTTGTAGAGACCCATTGACAAACACTGTGGTGGAGCTGCAGCTGATCCTCGGATCAAAGGAGTTCTTGGAGTAGGAGAAGCGGACTCGATGCAAGGGTTGTTGGATCACAAACTTTAAACGTCATTACCTGTGGGCATCGAGATGCCCACAGGTAATGACCAGCGCAGATGTTCTATTAGGGGGGGCTCATATTGCACAAGCATAGAGAAGAGAAGGCTTGCCTGTGGCAGATACGACCCGAAGCTTGATGTGAAGCGACAGACGAGGTGGTTTCCACACAGTGCTGCACAGCCGATGGAAAGAAAATGCCACTTGACTCGTTCAGAGTGAGACCTTTGCTGTCAAACTGGAACTGGTCATTAGTACACTGGCCAAGTATGGAAACCTCTTCACTCTCTCCAAAGCTGCCCCATTACCAATAGGGAGTTGAGTGGGTGGAGTGTTTGATGACAAAAATACCCAGGCAGGTGCTGAGTTTTAGTAGAACTGATTGTAAGGCCCCATGTCTTAGTAGCACGCTCCAGATCAAGCAGCAGTGACTCCAACTCCTTCTTTGAGTGAGTAGCAATCACCAGATCATCAGAATACTTAACATTTAACCGATAAGGAGCCATCCCTCGACTGCATCCGGGCATTGATCAACCTAATATTTTATTGGTACCAAATGGAAATTGCTCTGATAGAGTCATGGAAAGCTTCTCAAACTACGTGGTATAAAATATATTAAGTAATTATATTATATTTTGGATGTATAAAGGGCCTTTCACCAAGGTGCTTGACAATACTTACCAACTATGGCACAAAATGGCAAGATAAGGGATGGGGATCGGGTAGTGACTAGGGTGGAGGGAGCGAAGTGGAGGCTGCGGCAGTGGAGGAGTTAGGGTGTTAGGTGGTGCTGGTAGGGGTTGCGGAAGAGAAAGGCAAGAGAAAAGAGATAGGATCTGACGGGAGTGCGAAGAGAGGAAA